GTCAATCCATATCTGCCAAGTGACCCGATGTAGGGGGACCAGTCCCTATTCTGCTCTGTGTCAGTGTGTACCAGGGAACCTTAGGACAGGTGTCAATCCATATCTGCCAAGTGACCCGATGTAGGGGAACAGTCCCTATTCTGCTCTGTGTCAGTGTGTATCAGGGATCCTTAGGACAGGTGTCAATCCATATCTGCCAAGTGACCCTATGTAGGGGACCAGTCTCTATTCTGCTCTGTGTCCGTGTGCATCAGGGGCTCTGAGGACAGGTGTCAATCCATATGTCAAGGTGTCAACATGTCATATGTCAGGTGTCAATCCATATTGATTGTGATTTAGGAATGTTAGGTGATTTCTGCCCTTTATGGATTAAAACCAGACTCTGTATCAACTGTGTAATTTTCCATGGGAGTTTTGCCATGGATCCCCCTCCGGCATGCCACAGTCCAGGTGTTAGTCCCCTTGAAACAACTTTTCCATCCCTATTGTGGCCAGAAAGAGTCCCTGTGTGTTTTAAAATTCACCTCCCCATTGAAGTCAATGGCGTTTCGGGCGGTTCGCCGGTTCGCGAACATTTGCGGAAGTTCGCGTTCGCCGTTCGCGAACCGAAAATTTCGGGTTCGCGACATCACTAGTCCCAAATCATGTCCAGCTCATCCAAAGATTTTATTACATTAATAATTGTTTCCCAGAATGGTATTACGAGTGGGCAAGGCCACCATATATGCACAAACGTACTGACGTTGTGTATACAGCGCCAGCATTTGTCTGATCTATCAGGATGAAATTTATGTATCATATATGGTACTCTATACCATCTCATTAATATTTTAAAAACCAAAGGAAAAAAGTTACCTGCACTCTCTCCTTAATCCCTATGTATATTTAGACAAATGGAGGTCATTTAGTTACTCCAATGGCCATTACAGAGAATGCCCGCCTGCCAACGTAAAGGCAGACCCCCCTAAGCGGGTCCTACACTGACCCTTCAGCCTGCTTCCTTGAGCTTCTGGCTAAAATATCTCTAATGAGACAGAGAGGGGTATTTTTTATATACACCCCTAAACACTTATTAACCCTTAATAGGGAACACATTGGATGAGCAGCAGCATTGTACAATGCTGTGTGATACAAAAAGTGAATACAAAAAGATAAGTCCTGTGCTCACTCCCATTACTACTGGGCAGCAGCAATGACTACAATAAACATCAGCCCCAATATATAGTAAAAACCAAAGGGAAAAAGTTACCTGCGCTCTCTCCTTCATCCCTATGTATAGACAAATGGAGGTCATTTAGTTACTCCAATAACCATTGGAGGGAATGCCCGCCTGCCAACGTCAAGGCAGATCCCCCTAAGCGGGTCCTAACACTGACCCTTCAGCCTACTTCCTTGAGCTTTTGGCTAAAATATCTCTAATGAGACAGAGAGGCAGGCTGAAGGGTCAGTGTAGGATCTCCATTTGTCTGAATATACATAGGGATTAAGAAGAGAGTGCAGGTAACTTTTTTCTTTGGTTTTACTATATATTGGGGCTGATGTGTACTGTAGTCATTGCTGCCGCCCAGTAGTGATGGGAGTGAGCGCAGGACCTATCTTTTTGTATTCATTAATATTTTAAATAATTTTTTTGGGATTTTGGTTGATAATGAATATTTATGAGACAACCATACAATCTTATACCATTGTTCGTCTGTAAAGTTTGTATTGCATTCAGCTTCACATTTCTTAATGTAATGGGGGTTTTCCTTTGACTCCTTCTCTACCATTTGTTTATATATTTTCTAAATCAACCTTGTCTGAGGTTCCTTAGGCAAGCATAAGTTTTCAAAATATGATAAAGATTCCCTAAATATACCTCTGTTCTTCAGGAATTCTTTATAATAATTTATCTGCAATTCCAAGAAAAAACATTTAGAATTATTTTCAATTACACACACAGATATTCCCATATTTTTATGTTCTCTCAAAAAATGTCCTATTCTAGGATTTGTGATCTCCTGGGGGAACAATCTTTCAACATAGCCTCTTTCTAAGCCTGGAGGAAATTCCTTGTTGAAAGTTAGAGGAGTCATATGGGAATATATGCGTATTAATTCACCCTTTTTATTCAATTATCTTATTAATTTACAGGTACTCATTACAATTGGGTGAGTCTTTTCTATTAATAGTGGTTGGATGTTACATAGCCATGGCTCATAGTAGTGATTGTTCCCCTGGTTCGTGGGAACAAAACTACCAAACAGCACACTCCTGGCTGTTCAGGAAAAGGAAGCAGGTGTTCGTACAGTTTGACAAGTGTTCGGGAAGACGAGCGTAGTTTCAGACACTCAACGACCAAGTCCCGCTACCTCCTTTTGTGCGAACAAGATGGCAGCTTTTTTCTCCTGCATGTGGCGTTCAACTGTACGAACGGCAGCCACACAGGAAGAGCAATTAATGGACTGTTCTCTTTGAAGTTAATAAGCCAGGGGGTGGTCAGTGTTCGGTAGTTACAGCTACCGAATGGAAAAAAGTCAAATAACTGAAATAACATTGTAATTTCTTCACATAAGGCATTAAACCTCAAGTACTATTCTTCCACCCTCTGGATTACCTATCCTCAGACATCTTTTCCAGTCACTGTCCTATCTTATTGATGAGGCACCTTTCGAACCATACACAAATACGTGATTTATTTACCTTTCTTTTGGTTTCTCTGATCAAGAGAACATACTTCCATGATCGTCCCTTCCACAGACTACGTTAAGATATTTCAACCACAAGATACAAGACCACTATGTATTATACCTCATCCATATCAAATTTAGCCAAATCCTCTATTACCCTACCAATAACCAATGGTGCCCAGTAATAATCCTGGATAACAACCTAACCTCTTTACAAGAATTCCCTGATCAGCCCCTACTAGCCTTACATGGCATTACGCTAACAACTAGTAAATTCAGGTTTTATCTCAGTGTATTACTGAATGGTAAGATAAGGTCTTAATTCACCAAATTAAGCAGGTCACTCCTTCCTCATCAGTGCCACAACAAATACCTCCAGGAAATATGCACAGTACATATTATTGGGACTTTGGGACAATGGAGGTCCTCTGCTTACTCCAGATACATACCTCAACCTGTTCTTAAATACCCCTAGCCTTCCGTAGTATGTATATGTAATATATTGTAATATGCTTAATTTGTAGATAGTATAATCCTGTATGGTACCACAGTATGGCCCACAGCATCGTGGGTTCCGGCGCACCACAACCAATTTTTTCATATTACTATATGTCTCATATAGGTACCTTACATACCTACTTCTAATTTGCGCTCATTATGGCTTTTGATGCCCCACAAATATAAAATTAATAGTTATAAAAACTGAAATAGTCAGGTCTATTAAATTGCATTGTAACTTTACAGGCAATGTCATACATTTGGGGTATTGTTTTATATACATAAAACATATCCATATATAGAAATTAAATATTGGTTACGAACATCTCCCACATTCAGTGGAATGTCATGTATAATTTAGGAGACAAGTCTCATTTTTATAAAAAGCTTTGGTAATAATGTGTGCATAATTAGTGCATCTTAAGAAAAGTAATAAAAAAAATTATTTATTTGTCCTGATTTAAAAAGCACATTTTATGTGTAAGGTTTCAGTTTATTATTGGTAGATGCATATACTTGTAAAACATTTATTGTGAATTATTTAATTTATTTTATTTAGAACAGTTTATTAAAATGTACAGATTAGACAAGGTTTCTACTAGCTATCATCATACTGAGATTTGAACCTTTTAACCATTTCCACCTGTAATACTGGTTTTGCATGAACAATGTTAATTTCTCTAGATGCTTTAAGTTGTGTTGCCTTCAATAAAAAAAACAACTTTTTTGTAAAAAATAAAATAAAAAAATATACAGAGTAAAATACAATTCCAATGCGTAATGTCTTTAATAACCATCACAGATAACAACATTGCCACACAAGAGTATACATTTATATACTCTAGACATTAAATAGATATAATTTTTGTAAAGATATTTTGACAATCTCTGTTAAAAACTGTAAAAAGAAATGTGTTTTTATTTGCATATACACATATAACAAACTGTTTTAAATTTTTATTTCATAAACCTGATGTGTGAAGATCCTGTACAAAACTCCACATTGTGTTTAACTACATTTCCTGAGTACAACAATATTCCCAATGTATGCATTTGCCACTATCATGTGAACCCACAGTGCTATATAAGAGACATAACCAATTCAGTAATTACAGTTACAGAATTTATACATGGATTTGATGTACCTATGACTAATTTTAACACATTGTAGCAGTTTGATTGTTCAAGTGACCACCGAAAGGGTTACCATTTTGGAAAATACATACTCCACGGTATCTCATATGGTGCATATTGTGCCTCATCATGTGGTTATTTTTCACCAGTTATGTAAAAGTTTATGATAACTGTTTTTTTTGCATTTGTTTACTCACACATGGCATTTTTTATGGGTGTTTTGTAAATCTGATATGTGCCATTATGATTGATTCTTCTTACTAAAACAATACTCAAAATGTATGGCATTGCCTGTAAAGTTGCAATGCAATTTAATAGACCTGACTATTTCAGTTTTTACAACTATAATTTTAATAGATTAATTTGATTCGCTTGGCCTTTTCCTCATTTTGGAGCATACGAGCCGTTTGACAGCTAAAATTACCCAATGAATACAAACCATTCGCAAAATTAGACACCACTTGTATATTTTGAGTAGTATTTTCCAGCCATTTTTCACAAATTTAGTCAGTTTATGGTATTACTTGATTTTCATGGTTTTGTTTTTTACATGCGCATTGCAATGTAGCAGTTTATTTTGTAAACTTGATGAGTAGTGATATCCCGAACGGTTCGCCTAACGGTTCGCGAACGGTTCGCCACGAACAACTCGACAAGGACTCATCATTGAGTAAACTTTGACCCTGTACCTCACAGTCAGCAGACACATTCCAGCCAATTAGCAGCAGACCCTCCCTCCCAGACCCTCCCACCTCCGGGACAGCATCCATTTTACATTCATTGTGAAGCTGAATTCTTAGTGAGCTGTTTAGGAGGTGGGAGGGTCTGGGAGGGAGGGTCTGCTGCTGATTGGCTGGAATGTGTCTGCTGACTGTGAGGTACAGGGTCAAAGTTTACTCAATGATGAGTCCGCGGCAAACCGTTCGTGGCGAACCGTTCGGGACATCACTATTGATGAGCTCTACTGGAATAATACAGAATGGCCCATTTTGCATAATTTTAAATTCTTGAGATGCCTCTACCCTTTTTTGACTGGCCAAACATTGTTTATGCCCTTTTTATTGGTTGCCAATTTGCAGGGCAAGCATTGCCTACTGACACATGCAGAGTTACCAAATCAGCGTTATTTTGGCCAAAAATAAGAAAATATAGTTTGAATAAATTTTAAACAATTTTTTTTATAAGAAATAAAAAAGTTAACAAATATAATAAGTGACAGATTACAAACATAATACATTTTTGAGAAGATTTAAAAGGTAATAGAATGTTTTATTTAAATTGTGTAAAAAGTGTAAAATTGTTTATCTTGGAACAAAAAGGATATCATGATTGCATTGGTTTCCTTGGTGATTGGTCCATTCTTGGAAAAAGAAATGGTTTTACAGAGTGCAAAAGCCCCAATATTGATTTACCAATTTAAAAGTAATTATCTGAATTATTGTAATATATTGTAAATGTATTTCAAGCAGACAAAGACTATGTCGTATATACATAATTAATTACATTAAGTCTAAATTTTATTGTAATGTTTTCTTTGGTTTAAAAACATAATATACCATCTATAGAAAAAGTGGAATTGTAGAACATCTATTTTTATCAATAAATAGTAGATTGTATACATATAAAACTGAACATTGGTTTAATACAAAAATGCTGCTGGTGTCTAAATTAAGAAGAAACACTTGTGACTTGAGTAGCTGCCAGTGGGAATTAGTCACTGGGTTTTGAACCAGATCAATAGAAGATAGAAATTAATTATTGTTTGAGCTTAGTTGAAGATAACATTTTATCTGGAAAATGAAAACTACATTAGCAATGTGCATGAGCAAAATAATAACACAGATTTATTAATAAAATACACATTTAAAAGACTGAGAAATACAGTATTTGAATAGAATTAAATTAAATATGCAGACATTGCAGAATGTTGAAATGTTTCTCTTTCTCTAAGTGCCTGTGTATGAGAGGGGGAGGGGAGGCATATTAGGCTAAAACCAAATATGATACAATGAGAACCGTTCTGTTTCTTAACTAGGCTTTTTAAATTGCCAATGTATTTTGCATTGTGGGGGGTGAATCAGTCACTGGACTCTCATGTATCTTTGCTCTTACCATTGGGTTGGTATAAAGCATAACTATAGAAGATGTTGCACTTTGGTTGTAACTCACAACTTCAGCACTGTTTTTTTAATCCATTACCCAATCTGACATGGAGCTGCTCACTGTGCCTGAGGAAACAGGGAAAGAGCAGCAAGCAGTTCCTTATCAGACCGGACTTAAAAGGATAAAGGAGATGGCAGTGGGTGTGGAGCTAAGTGTGATAAAATACACACTTGTGAAGAAAGGTGCTGAGAATTTGCAGTAAAAAGCATTGTCACCAGTTTTGATGATGATGATTATTATTATTATATTTACATAGTGCCAACAAATTACATTGGGCTTTACAATGGGTGGACTAACAAACATGTAATTGTAACCAGACAAGTTTGATGCACAGAAACAGAGGGGTTGATGACCCTGCTCAATGAGCTTACATGCTAGAGGGAGTGGGGTAAAGTGACACAAAAGGTAAGGGAAGTATTAGGGAGGATAGATAGGTAGGAGTAGCAATATGTAGACATTTGAAAGCAAGAACCAGAATTTTATATTGAGCCCTATATCTTACAGGAAGCCAATGCAGGGACAGGTGCGGTCGGACAGGAAGAAGAGCCTCACCGCTGCATTCATTATAAACTGCAATGGGGCAAGTTGGGAAAACATAAGACCACTGAGTAGTGGATTGCAGTAGTCAAGGCGAGAGAGGACAGTGGCATGGACCAGCACCTTAGCCGCAGCTGGCGTTAAGTAGGGGCAGATGCATACAATATTTTTGAGATGGAAGTGGCAGGATTTACGATCAACTGTACATGAGGGGTGAAGGAGAGGTCAAAGTCAAAGAGAACTCCTAGGAAGTAAGCCTGCGTGGTGGAGCTGATGGTAGCACCATCAGGTTTAGATTCCGAGTGAATGTCAGGAAATTAGTATTTCAGTGTCAGAGTGTTAGCGTGGAGTGGTTGTGACTGTTAAAGTATGACTGTATGTACAGGTGCTGGAGTTCAGATATCTGTAGAAAATATGTCAAAAGTGAGTAAACTAATGACTATTCAAAAAATATGAATTTTATATGTAACCTTTAGATTATGGTTGTGTAAAGCTGCATTTCTTCTGGCAAAGGAAATGTAAGTAAAATTCACCAGGCTACCTTTGGAACTGGACTTACACACATGATTGATGCAATCAGAGCCTAGAGCTTATGATATTTCACATGATAAGGAATCATATGTACAACAGGGATTTTGTGAAAGCCAATTTTCAATCACTAGCTTCCATGAGATTACATATATATATTCAGTTGTATCGTTTATGAGAACTATGAATAGATTTTATATATTTCTTTAATTTACACCGTTATATGTAAATTAAACACATACATCACAAACATTTGCCAAGTATTTCCCACAATACAAGCAGGACATATTTATAGCAAAAATAATATCTGATCTGAAAATATTATTTTTTTTATGGTGTGATTTTTTTCATTATATAGTTGCTAATATTATCACAATATACACTTGATTAAATATTTAAATTATCTTTCTTTGAGCATCAGTAACTTTAATATGATATGTATTTTTAATAGTATTCACAACTAACTGTTTTTTATTTTAGTCCTGTTTGAAAAGACAAAAACAGGATGTAGCCACTGAGCTAAAAAATGATATGCAAAATATATAGAAATCAAATTAAAAGCATGGGAAATTAAAGAATAAGTAATAGCAGATAACATTACAATTTCAAAGCACATCATAGACTAAATTACTCCATAATACTAATATCTAAGTAACAAATAAACTAAAACTTTATAATTATATACATTATATATGCAAAGAAATATGATAGGTAAATGATTTGGTAATACTTTATATAATGAGAAAAATACTTTTGATATACAGTTAAAGCAAAGGTATGGAAATATCGACATACTTAATATTTTTTATACTTATGTTTATATTATAGTAACCATGTAGTCATTTTTATATTTGTCTTTCATCTTTTATTCTCCCATGTGTTAGACTAGTTTCCATTGGGAAATAAATTATACTTATTGAACATATGCACATGTAAGACATCTAAGCACCATAGGGTACATGAAACACAACACGTCTGAGTTTACTATGAGTAACCTAATGTGTTTGATTCAAAATAAGATATACATTAAAAATGATAAATTATATGTATAGTCCTTGGGTTCAGCCTGTGTGCTTCATCTACAGCCCATAACATTCTGTAAAGAAGAGCACTGAGGAGGACTTACCCAAATAAAGAATACATTTCAGTCCAGCTCACCATACAAAATATGGAGATATGGACACAGTTTAAATAGTGCTAACATCTTTAAGTCAGGCCAAATTTAGCCAAATTTGGTCCAATCAGCTTTTCAGTCAAAGTCTGTAGCACCAGAGTTTCATGCTTACATAAAACCAAGCAAATGACTAGGCAATGTCCAAACATGCTTCAGGACTAGAGGTTCCACCCATGATACAAAAAAAAAAATGGGGGAGAAAGTAAAGAGGAAGCTGATTTTTTTAAAGCAGTGCAAATAAGCAGCTTGGTTTGCCATGACGGATCAGAGGTCTGCTCAATGATGTGGACTGAAGTTCCTGTCCAATCAAGAGGTGGAAAAAAAGATGGTCAATGGTTAGGGGACAGCCACCAAATGTAGATTTTATTCACAGATCAAGTGGGAAAAAAGGAGGAGCAGTGATAAAAAAATCTGTATATTTACACAAGATTTGATTTGGAGAAATATAGCCTGGGCCATTGATCCTAGTGTGAGACTTGTTAGATTACTGCTGTGCCTAGCCATTGACACATACAACAATATTAGTTCACTGACTAAGAGTCTGACAGTTGACTTTTTTGCTAACTGTTTGTAGAAAGAAAATATATTATTTTCTGGAATGTGTTCAGTGCAGCATTTGTTGTGCAAGTATGCGAGTGCTGTGTGCAGTTCACAGTGTGCTGTGCTTTTTGCAGTGTAGTACTTCTTAAAGTCAAAGACAACATCTTTTTGCACAAACTTCTATTTGGACTTAATAATGTTGTGTTTAATTATACAATGCACATCCATATCCTAATTTACTGAAATAATAAAAATCCAGCAATATCAATGGTACTTTCTAATCACAAGAAGAAATTAAGGAAGAGTTTGTGTTGTGTTCTCCAATCCACCTTCAGGAGTAGAACCAGGGCCTCTCCGAGTCATAAGACATCTACCACCACACCACCTTTGAAGTACTAATATGACTTTTAGTAGCATTAAGCCTCAAGTTACTGAGAGTAGCATGTTTATTACATCTGATTCACCATCCAAGCGGCAAACATTTTTTTCATGGCAGCACCAATGGATAAAAGTTAATCACTGCCATGTCATTCAACTTTTGGTGTGGTTACTTAAAAGTCAAATTGAAGACCCTATTCGCATCAGCTACATAAAAGAAGAAGCATATGTGGATCTCTAGAAGCAATGTGAGGACTAACTTCAGGCATCGTAACCTTCCCACTCTGGGAAGAGATGGAAAAAAAACTAGCTTCAAGAGGAGGTTCATTTTTAAGATTATCCAGGTTTTTGAATCTCCTCTTGTAATTTCATGCATGATATCAGATTGGGAAGAACTGGAGTTAATTTAGTTTCAAATATTTTGTGAAAATCTGTTGTGAGTCAAATCTATTAATATTTCAGATTAGTGCACAAGACAAAAGTTGATAGTCAGTTTATCTGAAATCCTGAACTCTGACACTATGTGGACAAATTGTAAAACAAATTA